CAGGGCCTTTTTTAACATACAAGCTGGGGGGGGAATGCCCCCCCCAGTCCCCCCTTGTGCCCCGCCCCCCACGAAATCACATTTTGCCCCCCAGGAAAAGTCCCTTTTTCCTAAAATTATACAAACAAACCAGAGAAGATTAACAAATAGATAAATGGAAAGTAAGTTTTAGGCTTTATCCTTTGTCCTTGTTTAACAAAATCGATTTAAATTGTTACGTTTTTCTACCACTAAGTAATGATAAATTATTGTTAATAATTTTTTATTTTTTGGATGCTCAGAAAATAGCTCAGAAAATAGCAGAAAATAGCATTTCCGGGTCTCAAGTTTCAAAACTTTTCTGGGGATTATCCCTCTAATAAGTAATGATAAATTACGGTTAATATTCTTTTTTATTTTTGGGGCATTTTTTCCTTCTTTCATTTCAAAATACAAGTATAGTTAGCATAAATTTTAGAGTAAATTTGGATGCTCAGAATGCAGGAGATGGCATTTCCCGGATTCAAATTTCAAAAATTTTCTAGCCGGGAGTACACCCCCACACACGTGACCATTGCTGTCCTCCTTTAATAAGTAATGATAAATTATGCTTATTTTTTTCAGTTACTTTTTGGGCATTTTTTCCTTTATTTATTTCAAATACAAGTATAGTTAGCATAAATTTTGGAGCAAATTTGGATGCTCAGAATGCAGGAAATGACATTTCCGGGATTCAAATTTCAAAATTTATCTGGGGGAGTACACCCCCAGACCCCCCCCCCAATCATGCATGGTATATTGGCCACATATATGGCCTTCAGCCATTGCTATCCTCCTCTAATAATATTATATCACAGAAAAGTCCCTTTTCAAAAAATGCCCCCCCACGGGAAAATTCTTAAAAAAGGCCCTGTTTTGAAGGTGTTCAAACTTAAAAGCCTTTTGACGCTGGTAGTCGAGAATTTTTTCTCCGAGATGAGGGCAAGGCATGTGATATGCCAATGCAGTTGCAGTTCGACTTTCACTTCAGTCGAGCAATGAAGGAGAACTTGAGTACTTCAAGTCAAATCTGACTTGTAGTATTCAACTCTACCAAAGATGGCCCCACCTACAGCAGCACAGTTGATAAAGTCACAAGTGCAGCAAATCAGAGACTGGCGCATGAAGTATGGCCAAAGTGTCCCACAGAATACCGTGCGGAACATGAGTACTAAAGACAATCCGGGTACTCTGCCGATAAATGTCTATGCCCAGACACAGCCAGCTAGCGAACCTTTGGATTTCTCGAAAATTACAGAAAATGGTACCCCGCAAACAGACACACACCATGTCAACACGCACAACCTTTTCCGTTCCACAGGAGACGTTGTTTTTCTTGCCTCGTACGCCAAGTCCGGGCGGATGATGATCTACCAACTACAAGAAAACGTTAGTGTTTAAACAAAGAAAACAAGAGCCACCATTTTTGAAGGTTACCCTTTCAATCCACTTATATTTACAGAAGGAGTTGTCAAGGTCAATATATGCGAAAGAAATATCTAGTTCTCTGGTGGAAACCGTTTGCAGGAGATAGCAACTTTGAACTGACAGAGAATGAGTTTCTAAGATATCAGTCAAGAATGATTGAATGTGTTGATGCGGTGACGATTGAAGAGGCGAAAAAAATTAGAGAGCGCCAGGATATCGGCCAAGACAGCTAGTGCAACAGATACGAGGCCAAGACAGTGCAACAGATAAGAGGCCAAGACGTGCAAGAAAGACGCCACATACTGACGATTTTGTGTATTATGATTAGTAAAGGTGATACTTTGGTAGTTTAATCGTTGGAACAATTGAACAAACTATAAATGCAATGCTATTCATTAGATCTATTTTTTGTTATGTAATAGTAACTGAAGTAATACTGTCAACACTTCCACGTTACTAATAGACTAGTAATAGTAATACTGTCAAATAACTAGCATTATATTATAGTCTTCTTCAGTATTGTATTTTTCAATTAAGCAGCATCTGCAGGCTTGTGATTGTATTTTTCTGTTTAATTTTGTTAAAGTGAATATATGTATTAATACAATGGATGATAGCGAGGATAAACTATCAAATTTTCTGAATATAACAAAACAAAATTTAATTTATAAAGGGGAACAAGGGGGCATGGTTAAATTTTGAAAGGGAGCAAGGGAACAAAGCGAAAATTTTGAAGGGAACACGGGAACACATACCCCCCCCCCCTGGGAGACCCTCGCCAGTGTGAACGCTTGAGCAGGCGTCTTGTTCTTTCTAGTCTGGAGTCCGATAACTCCGTGTCTCATGTCATATGCAACGTTTAGGCCAAAAAAAATATGTGGGTTTCCGGTTTCCCGACCCTACAAAGCTTTTGGTCTTTTGGACGTCGAAATCCCGACCCTAAACTTTTTTATTGGATCATGCTTGTAAGTGTTTCAACCACTGTGAGGAAAAAGTTTGTGGAAAATTGAAATTTGAGGCAATATTAGAGAAATTTATCTTTGGATATGCAAGCACTGACTAAACAAAATGGCGTCCGGTTGTTAGTTGTTAGGAAAATTTTAAAAAAAGTTTAAAAAAAAAGTTAAAACCGACCTACCCTACCTAAGTTTTTATAAGAAGAAACCGGAAACCCACACACATTTTTTTGGCCTTATATAAAATATATATGATAATATACGAATGCAATAACTACAATAAATATTATCACACATATTGTGCCTTTATCAGTGCCTTGTCCTTGCCATGATGAAACTGACAAGTCTGACAGCAGAGGCCGCGGAAGCATTTCGAAAGTTCAAAGTGGAGGGGCATTGGCCAAAAAGGACACTTTGTATATCATCAAAATCAAACGATTTTATGTTGTTCACGAGCCGAACGAAAATTTTTGAAAATATGGAGTCCCTATATTGGCTATATTGGCTATAACGTCGTAAATTGCCTTTTAATACAGAGTCTTTACTACTGCAAAAAGGGCACTTTCTTTCTAGCCCAGAAAAAGGGCATTTTTTCACTTTTGAAAAGGGGGCGGGCACATGCCTCCATTGCCCCCGGTCTGACATGTACAGCATTTCTAGTGTTTTCAGGAAAACACAGATATTAACCCTAGCAAGTAAATATCAAGCCAAATAAGCAGCATTACAGCATGTTGCCATACTTAATTTATTTTCCAAATTATTTTATCAGAAAAATATCACAGAAAATGAAGCAATCTCGTACCCAGGGTCTTTGCTCGTGGGAAGCAAGAAAATGAAGTCGTTTATCAAATCTCAACATTTCATACTGTAAAGTTTGAACTCTAGTAAAAAGTTGCTCGAACCGAAAAAAGTTCCTCCAAATGATAAATGGTCATATTAATTGATTAAATCAATTAACTTATTTTACAGATAAATTAAGGGAAATGTTATATAAAGGCGAGCCAGCCCTTATTCACATAGCAATAACACTCAGCCCATTTAGGTGAGCCAGCCCGGGTCTTTGCGTTTATATGGGAAATTCCCAGCTCAGTCATCCGAGATCTATTCTGTGTCCCGGGTCAGTCGAAGTGGGATCTCACATAGGCGGGCTAGGTCGGTTCCCATATAAACGCAAAATGAAATTTAGTAGGAAATAATAACAAAGGTGGGATCTCACCCGAAACCCAACCTCTGCAAGCTCCCATCCAACCCATGATCCAACCATTGAACTATAAGTAAACTGTTTGTTCAATGGATCCAACCTAGCCTCCTCCGCAGGCTAGATCCAACCTTGGCTCCCTTCCCTTTAAATTTATAAATGCGGTCAGCGGTACTTTCGATGATGTTTTTTTAAGAAAATTAAAATTTCCCCTTTGCTAAATTGCTATCCACTGAGAAATGATTGAAAATGGCTTCATCTCAACCGACAGTGAATATCGAGCAGCAAATTTTGACTATTATTGGTTCTACTGTACCAAACGAAGCGAAGAAAACTTTAATAGAGTACTGTTGTAAACATTCACTTGAAATATTGGAGAAGGAAAGATGTCATGGTGTTTTGAAACTCGCCATTGAATGGATCGTGTGTGAATCTGATGCGTTGTTGATTGACAGTGGTCGACTGTTGTTGAAGACTTGGGCTCAGAATAAAACAACAGTTTTAGTATCATTCTTTACTGAATCTATGTTATTAACCCTGCTTAAAGCTGACAATGCCGCACCGTCTCATATACTTTACGTCTTAAATTGTGTTTTCCCATATTTGAAGACGTCGTCAAAAATCTACCCACAATTATGTAAAATTGTGTCTCAGGAAATTATAACATGGCTAACACTAGACGATATACAGTTTTGTGGAAGTCTAGCCATGTTTTTAAAGGAAAATTCAGAATGTTTACCAGATGATAAAGATGAACTTTTAAAAACAAATATTCTGTCGATTCAATGTCTTGGCAAAACCAAAATTCCTAACGCATCCAAGGATGAAATGATTGAATTTTTCGATAAAGTACAGGATATTTGCGAATTACTGCATATGATTTGGGATAACGATTCATCTCAAGGTTTCATAATGATGTCAGTCAAAGAATGCTTTGAAATATTGTCAAATCCTAGCTACCAGAGTACAGTAGCTTTAACAAGTCTTACTAATTATATACCAGATCATATCATTAACTCTCTGATATATGATGTCACTATTTCAACCACTATAACAGACAATGACATTTTCTGTGGGTTATCAAAAATGATGCAGTGGCTTGTATGGCCAAAAAAGACAAAAGTTGCAATGTGGCTTTTGACATTTTTTAAATGTTTAGTAAAAGTTGGGAAGAAAAATGTTCTACAACGGCTTATTCATGAACGAATATTACAAGTGAGTGGAATACCGTATTTACTCATTTAAGAGCCACCCCCAATTGAGTGCCGCATATAAGAGCAAAATTATCAAAGTGCGACGCCCTCTAATAAGCGCCACACTTTATTCACAACAATGCAGCACTTACTTTTACTCGCATCGTCTGAAAAATTGTTTGCTATGCTCAACCATGGAAAGAAATCACTAACACTGAAAATTTAAAGAGCACCATGGTCCTTAAACTAGTAAATGATTGACAATGTACCCTGGTGTGCCATACTGTATTATTTTACTCTGTCTAATGCCTGAAATTTTACTAATCAAAGCCAGGTCTGGACTGCCACTCGATAGGTTAATGAAAAATTAAGGTTTCAAGACCTATTCATAAAAGTTGCGATATAATCTTGAACGGTTTCTACCAGTGTAGGTAGTGCCAATAATAACAAAAGTTTTGTTGGTAGAGATGCAACTACCTGACAAATACAAGGAGAAATTTGACATTTCAAGTGAAGGCCCTTCATCAGGGGTAGCCGGGGTTGGGAAAATTACACAAGGGGGGGGAGGACATTGGGATTTACAGTATGGCGATATTAGCTTATTTTTCTTACGGTATTTCGGTATTTTCCTTGAAAAATTGCGGTATTATGATATTGGAAATCTTGTGGTACACAGTATTTGCAATTTTGGATTCAAAAACTGCGGTTATTGACAAAATTTGCTTGCAGTATTACGGTATTGAATACCGAATATAAAAGCGATTGTGAGACAAAAAATAAACCTATAATGACGATGAACTAGTCACATACACTCGTGAATCATTTTAAAATGTACGTTTAGTACACTGTGTAAGTTTAGTGTACTGTAGTACCCAAATATCCTAAATATTATATCTAGAAAACCTTATGTGAAAATTCAGCTGATTTTGTTATAAATTTCAGGTCTTCAGTAGAGTCTTTATGCCTGTAATCCGTGAAAGCAACTTTGTAGTTCTGGTTAACATGCTAATGTACTGCTTGGATTCACCTGTAGCCTTCCACCAGGTAGGAGCTATATTAAAAAATAACAAGAGTGTACTCCATAAAAGATCTTTAGGTGTATTTACCATTTGTATACTGTAGATTTAGGCGTATTTTACATGTATTTACCATTTGTATAGATTATATAAATTCTGTGAAGAATAGCTATAAAAATTGAATGGTTTTATGGTTTTCGTCATTTAATTATATTCTGTACTGTGTGTCATGTATCTAAGAAGTCAAACCTTCCATTCTTTTCTTAGATTATTCCATTTGTTCCAAATCTCATGGATCGTTTACGAAATGAAAAGAAAGAGCAATCCAATAACTATTTAACTCCATTGGGAGAATTAATGTATACACTAATGTACAGATTTTCTAATACTTCTGAGGTGGTTTATGCACCTCTTTTACTCGCTTTGAAGGTAAGTATCTGAGTACCGGTTTAAACACATGTCAGTTGAAGGGATTTTGTAGATGGATGGATGTACTAGCTTCTGTACGACTATTTCAAGTAAAAATATGACAAACCCTATTACATCATTTTTAACCTGAAAAGAAGACTGGGCAGTGGGGCCGGTTGTTCAAAGCTGGGTTAGCTTAACCCTAGCCTAGGTTAAGTTTGGTTAACCTAAAATTCAAAGCAAACTTCCAGACAGCTTGTCTATGAATTTGGAGATATTTCTTCAGAGATCTTGTTTATTTTATAAGGGAGTGGTCATTATATTTATGGGGAGGGGGGGTTGGGAAATGGGAGGGGGGCAAACAAAGTTTTACCCTTATAAATAGGGGGGGTCAAAAAAGTTTTAGCACAGAGAAGGGGGGGGGGTCATAAAAGTTTTTGAACTTAAATACCATGTCTAGAGTTCTGATTTCTATAATCACAAATAGCAAAAAAGAAGACTCTGAAAATGCTATTTCCAATGATCTAGAGACTCAAAATTTTCAAAATTTCCCTGCTCGGCACTAACCATGGTAGCGCCACATGATTGTGGAAGTCGGGCCCACTAAGTTTAACAAGCTTTCTACCCCCTGAGTGACCCAGTTGTGGTATTTTCATAAACATACCATGCAAGTACACTTAACTGATCAGATTCAGTCTATCAACGCACAATGTAACACTGTATATCCAAAAATCTGTTTCAGTAAATGCTCACATTTCAGTTCTAGGGGTGGAAAAATACAAAAATTTTCTGGGGGAGAATACCCCCAGACTCCCCTACTAGTACATATGATACCACACCAAACTTTTTGTCACCAACAACCATCTGTCATCTCTCCACACTCAATATAGTATGGTTTCTTTTTGTAGATGCCCACCCCCCAGACAAGCCAGACAAGTTCTTAAAAAAACCCTGTGTTCAAATCATTTCGCTGTATGAAGATGGGTCATGGGTTAGGGTTATGGTAGGACAAATGTTGCATTGCAAAGTAGTAACACATAATATATATTTTTTAATCATATATGGTTGAATCATATTCACCAGGGTAAAACATCATGAGCTAGATTAAACAGATGTCCTAATATCTAACTTTACCTGCAACGCACACCTGTTTCGTTGCTGTTAATTTTTCAATCGACACGGGGGGGGTCAGAAAAGTTTCTACTTTTATGAGGGGGGAGGCACAAAAAGTTTACCTTCAGTCTGGAGCGGGGGGGGGGGTCAAAAAAGTTTTCAATCCTTATTTTCCCCATTTCCCAACCCCCCCCCCCATAACTAATGACCACTCCCTTATTTATTTATTATGCTTTGCCAATTTCACACAATCATATCTACACAAATACAAACACAAGAATATACAAACTATCAATCAATCAATCAATGCCAGGGTATATGCTACAGCTTTACGCCAATTATAGCAGCCCTTACAGAACGAACATGACACATTCTACATTAGATCTTTAGTAATATAAAAGGCCAGTTTGCACTCAGGAAAACCCTCCGCAGGATAGTAACGGAAGGAAAGTTACAGTACATAGTGCTAAAGTCATTAGTTCCAACACCGTCCGCTCCTGCGGAAAATTTTCCTGAGTGGAAATTAGCCAACAATGAAGCTAACAAGACCAACACAGGGACACACATTAGAATTAACAACAACACGAATTTGAACAAGACAAATTACGGGACTTGTTACAAGACAAACATGCAGACTTCCATGTTCTAGGATTTTCCGCGTCGTAAATGTTCAGAGCCGATTTGTAATATTCATAGAGATCGCTTTTGAAACGACCTAAGCTTATGTTCTTTGTTGTCAACTCTTTTGGCAGAACATTCCATACTCTCGCACACCTGGATATAAACGATCTCTGGAATGTTGCAGTCCTACACTTCGGTGTGGTGAACTTCAAACAGTCGGGGTCAGCTGAACGCGTTGCTCGAACGCGTTGCTTCTCCGAACGCGTTACTTCTCTGAAGTTTTGAAATAAACAGATGTGCAGAAATACACAAAATAAAGCAGCAGGTTAAATTTTAACCCAGGGTTGGCGCTAACTCAACATTGAACAACCGGCCCCTGAACCTTAAATAGACAATATCAGGTGTCCGGTCCGACATCTGACTGGATAAAGAAATGATCTCACTACCCAGGCTAGCTGGATATAATATCCGGTGCATCCCACTTGAACGTTTCATGCAAAGGCTAATTTTGAAAATGTTGTTTATTGCCATCTGCACTGTAGATGTAGACTGTGATATTTCCAAATACTATGTTGTAGGGTATTCCCAAACCAACAGTGGACATGATGAACAAGTGGTTACAGTCTGTCAACAGTGGTTTTGCAAGTGAAGAACCTAAGAGAGCTTTCATCTTCACACCAGAAATGTTGAATTTAACTAAGAACAAGAACAAGACTGGATTGGTGAATTTAGGAAATACATGTTACATGAATAGTATCTTGCAATGTCTCTTTATGCTTGATGTGTAAGTATACCACAACTGTAAATGTACACATGACAGTGAGACAATCTCATTCCCAGGATTCGTATTTCCCTTGCAACTCTGTAATCCAAGCTCTTTCTCAGATCCTACAGTAGTACTGAGATTAAAGTATATACCTTTCCTAGTGTACCTTAGCTGGATTTCCACTTGCAAGAAAAATTTCGCTAAATTTCTTTTGAATTGTGTCACAATTCAAGGGAAATCAAGCGAAACATTTTGACGACGAAATATTTGTGGAAATCCAATAATCATGAAAATTGAATTAATCATTAAAGTTTTGATAAATAGTCGATGCTGCCATACGTTTTCGTCACAGGTTGTGCATGTTTTGCCTTGAAACATATGTTAGATGTATGACGCATTACCTACTAACAATTCTGTCGCATTTTTTTAATGGGCAAACATACTGATGATTCATAACAAGTCATTTCCCAGAGAAATTGTGATTGGGAAATTTTGACAACAAAGATAATAAAGATTGTTAAACACATCTTTGCCAAATGTTCAACTTAGATATATAATTTCCAAAATATTAAAATATATTACTGTAAATTTACAAGTCATTTTCATTTTAGGTTTCGAAATGCATTGTTCTCAAGAGTTGCGTCACTAACAAGACATCCTGTTATGTACAGTTTGCAAGACGTTTTCACATTTTTACTTATGTCCAAGGTAAATTATAGAAATGCATAAAAAATTCCTTGTTACGTTTTTTATAAGTATTGTCGCGGGAGTATAGGTACTGTAGTGGGAGAAACCCATGCGGCTTCTATAGTGTAACTGCAAAGTTGATCTCCTGACAAAAATTATTTAGGTTTATATAAAAAAAACCAGAAAATTGCAAGATGTAGACTGTGAGAATCTGCAATAAGAACAAAGTAGTGGAGTATTTAAAAAAGGAAAAACCTGCACATGATAACGAACGCCACGAAGTTCTGTAGTTGATTATAACAATTTTAAAAACTCAATAATTCATTAGAAAAGACAAAGGAATCATACCGTGTCGGTGGTTTTATATGTGATAACAAATCATGTTAATTAATTGACATAAACTTTAGATATGATTTTCTCGGCTTAGACAAAAAAATTAAAAATTACTTTAAAATTACTTCGCCAATGAACTCATAAGATGGGTCGTTTTCTAACCCTTAAGCCATTTAAACACTCACAGTCCGTGTTTTATCAGATAGCTATAAGACATTCGGCTGTCGCCTCATGATTTATATCTAATAAACCACTCCTGCTCGTGTTTTAAATAGTACAGTACGTAACACGATAAAACTACAGAATAAGATTTCTAAAGAACGAGGCACAAACAGTGATCACCTCAACCTCGTACCCAGGCTTTTTCCTTGATCACTTTGGTTTCGTATTTACCGCATGAAAAGAGTAATAAAGAGGTAAATGTCGAGCACAAGTGAGCGCAATCTGTATACCATTTCGCGCTGATACATTTTTTCTATATTTAGCGTGATGCTATAGCACCTGAGAACTTTGTTCGACATTCTCGTCCTCCGTGGTTTCCCGCCAGAACGCAACAAGACTGTTGTGAATTTGTTCATTATTTAATGGATAAGTTAGAGGAAGAAGATAAAGCTTTGTTACAAGGTGGCACAGAAACACCTTCAGCGATTACAAACATTGTTGAAGAACATTTTAAAGGCGTTCTCTGTGTTACATATAAATGCATGAGTTGTGGAAATGAATCAAGGCACAAAGAAGACTTCACGGATATATTGCTAGCATTCCCAGAAGTCGTTCCTCCTCAAACTGAAAAGCCTAAGTCCAAAGGATTTTCAAGGGAGGAAGAAAATCCCAAAAGTTTGAAAGGTGGAGATCAAGTTAGAAATTTTCAAGAAAGCAGGTACAAAGAAGGATCCTTTGAAACTTCAAAAGAAAGTGTCTCCAATGTTCAAACAACACCCAAAGCATCAACGAATGATTCAACCACAGTAAAGCATGATCTCGGACAACGTTCCACGTTCACCATTCAAGAAATGCTTGATTATTTCATGAAACCTGAAGAACTGTCAGGAAACAACCAATATTTTTGTGATCAATGTCGCGCTAATGTTGATGGAGAACGCCGTGTGCAGGTGGCGAAGTTACCAAACTTTCTCATGCTTTCTTTGAAACGCTTTAGTTTTGATGTCAAGAGTCAGACAAAACCAAAATTATTACATGTTGTTGAGTATCCTGAAGAACTAACTTTCTGTAGTGTCGGCGAAAGTATCATGTTAGACTCAAAGAATTCCTGTGCAGATGAAGACGTGATTGATGGAGGAGATGGACAAGCTATGGATATGTCATGTTCACTACATTCATATAAACTATGTTCTGTAGTTGTTCATTCAGGGCATACTTGTGAAGCTGGTCATTATTATAGTTACGCCTTGGATACTCCAAGAAAGACGGAAGATGCAACAAAACTTCAATGGTATTGCTTTAATGATGAAAATACTCATGAAACGTCCTACAAAGATTTCCTGGAAAGAGAGAAGAGCAGTGTTTCGGACACAACGTATATTGTGATCTATATGAATGATGACTTGGGAATTGATCAAACTTCTGAACAGTGTGAAGCTCCAGCCGACATGATTGAGAGAGTTAAACAAGATAATCTCAAGTTTCTGCAGGTAAAATAATAAAGTTCTAAACGATCTTAAATAATTATAACAAAATATATACGATCCTGTACCTATTAAACAGAGGATTCCAGGTATGTCACTCGACTGAACTAATGTTGAAGATGGAAGTTTCCAGTGTAAGTTTTTATACATTTATTAAGATCTAACCAAGGGCAGCTGCGAAAAATGCAACTATAGGCCTTCTTGCGGGAATCAAACCTGCGATTCCTGTGCAGCGTTCTAACCAACTTTCCTCAGCCCACTTCGTGTCTTATTGGAGAGCAGCGTATAGCATTTTTGCAGCACTGAGTTATATATTTACATATTTAATAATACTATACGTTGCTCTCCAATAAGACACGGGGTTATGCTGTTTTCATAAAAAATGTTTTTCATGAAAAAACACTCAGAATGCTTCCTTTTGCATGTGTTATAAATACCTATGCATGATTCATTAATTAATGAATTTGCTGTCCAATAACTGCCATCTTCAATTTTTTCAGGAACGATCACGTTCTACAGTGCAACAGCGTGATGCTGGCCAAAGTCACAATAATGATAAAGATGACGGATCTCCACCACCAGGGAGTTGTGGTTCTAATGGTTCGAACTTTGCAATTCCTGGGAATAGATTCATTTTCTAGAAATATATCTCCTAAAATATAAATTTACGTAAAAACTAAGGACCATGAAAAAAAAACTCATGATGAATTAGTATGTGTAGACTGTGGTTCAGTTTAGTGGGACATGGATAGTTACAGTAAATATAATTAGCCTTTTCTCACAATGACGAATAATCTGCCATTTTTGGGTTAACCAATGCAGACAATTAAAACAATGTGAAAAGCAATTTTTCAAAATAAACTAACCTTTTACAAAGCAAATTTACCATCATTCGTCCAAAAAATGATAAAAAAGTCGCTGTTATGTGGACATTTTCTTGCAGACTTCGGCTGAAAAGCCACCCAAAAATGGCGGCGTGAGAAAGGCTAATTAATGCCAATTTTATGGCGAAAGTATATGTTATATGTCAAGTGTTTGAAGGGTCTACCTGAAATAAATAAAAACTATGCAGTCTCGTTTTCGTGATGGGAACCTTTGCTTTAGGGACCTTTATATTGTTACTAGTAGTAGTGAGGCTGGACATTTTGCCGAAAGACACTTTGCCGAAAGACATTTTGCCGACGGAAGTAGTATAGGAACTGCCGGTTCTAGACCACTAGTTTTCCTCTTCGTTTTCAGTTTTCTGGTTTTTCTAGACCACTAGGTCTAAAGTTTTTATTTATGTTAATACCGGCAGTTTAGTAGTTTAATTGGGATGTGAAACTTCTATTTTTGTTTTGAAGCTTTAGGATCACCTTGGTGGTTCAGCTGGGACTCTGGTGTGATTATTCCACACTTTTCTGATATGAGCTATTTTGTTTGTTTTGGAGCCTCTTCGGCAACTTTTATTTCCTCCTTGGGGGAACACACATCCCTTACATAGAATCGTTGTATATTAGTTTTAAGCGCTGACTAGTACCCTGTGAGAACTACGCCACGTCCTTTCTTAGTGTTGCTTCTTACAAGTGCCACACCTAACGTCTGCGTTTTTAGTTTTATTAACATTTTCAGGTCCTCCTTTGATTCTGGAGGTAGTGTGTTTAGGTTGTTTTTAGTCCAATCAGTACTAGTCAATATTATTCTTAGTGGATGTAGTTTCTTAAACTTCCACCTCTTAACTTGTTCCACAATTTTTAGTGTTACTCCGAGATTAGAGTTCTCACTTCTTTCCCACACTCCATGTAGTATGTGGTCTGGCTCCGTTTCCCTTATCCACTTTGTGACGACAGCTTTTTCAGGTATTGCTATGGTAATTTTAGGGGCTCCCTCGTATATATAGTTTGCTCTTTGAAGTATGTAGTATGTGGTGGCTTTTTTAGGTAGTACTGCTGTACTCTCTGGGGCCCCATCGTAGATGTGTTCTGTCTTTTCAAATATGCAGTGCTCACTTTCTGGTTCAACCCTTACTAGTACACAGTTGGGTTCTATTTTTTCTTCAATAGTCTTTTCGACACCTATCTTCTTAATCATTTGGTGCCCATAAGCGTAACTTGTAACTCCATCTTCAAGTAAGTATCTTTTATCATCGAAACAGCTAAGAGTAACCTTCTTTAGTTCGTAAGTTCCAATTGTATGCTTTTTGCTCCTGATTGTATTCATGTTGTGTCTCATCCTACCCTTAGTATTGATTACGTTCTTAAAGTTCTCGTGAGTGAGCTTGTTTCTGATGACGTACTTTTTAACTCCCTTAGCGGTCATTCCGCCTCCACCGTTTTCCTTAACGTATGAGTACATCTTTGCTCTTAACCCAACGAACTCGATTATGGGTACTCCTTCAGCTTCATTCTTAAACTTACCTATAACCTTCTTGTTGTGGTCTGAGTAGTACGGAGAATCTTTTGGGTAATCTGAGTTGTCCCAACAGTCCTGCCTTTCACCAATCCTCTTGAAGTCCTCATAAACATTGTTCGTTCTAAGTTCGTACATTAAACTGTCTGTATCAGTAAACAGTAGCCTTGACCTGTTACCGTACTCCTTCTTAATTGTGTTGTAGTGGAAATCATACATTAATGTCTTGGATAAGTCTAAGATGCTCATTCCTACGTAACACGGTTTATTTAGCGTTAGAACTTCTCTCATTCTTTTTACAACTATAAGGTTCTCATTCATAATTCGATGTGACTGGAAGCACGGTGATGCCGTCAGTTTTAGGAGGTCGTCTTCGGAGGGCACTAGTTTTACATCAACCCTTTTCCTAAGATTTTCCATAGTCTTTCCGTAAATCGAATTATTCATCAACTTGAAGAAGTTCTTTTCGAGCGTGTTACGAGCTACTGACCTTTTCTTTGTATTGAAGTCTATATAGTTTTTAAGCCAGGGAGACTGTTTGAATGTAACCGCTCTATGGATCTTTGTAAGTTTCATTCCGAGGTCCATATACAGTTTCAAATTACGTACATGTAAAGCGTACTTCTTTTTGTGTTCTAGTGAAGTCACCAGTTTTTTTACTCCTCCAATTGTTAGTTGGAATTTCTCAGCAATGCTTTTCGAATAATCTGACAACATAGAGGCACTATTTTTTTTACTCTCAGGTGCTAGAGGATAACCGTTGTGTAAATTGTGAAGTTCTTGTGGATATTCTAAGTCAACCTCTAAAACCATTCCTCTTTTGTTGTTTTCTAGGTAATCATCTATGTTTATGTTATTAACTTCTTCAACCCACTCAAATTCTCCGTTAGGTAGTGATTGTGACATTGCCCAACCATATAAATTGTTAGCGTCGAGGTACATCAAGTACTTACTCTCAGACGACTCATCGTACGTTTCCATGTACTTATTGTTGGCTGTTGAGTGTCTGTGGGCAATATAACTTATACCACCCCTCATACCCTTCTCGAAGAACTGAAACATGTCCATATCACTTACAAGTTCTATTTCTTCACCTGACTGTTTTAGAAAAGCGTCCCAACTTAGACTAGGTGCTGACATGTAATGTGCAGGGTCTAGTTTGTAATTTTCCAGACATGTTCTCCTGAAGTTTTCAAACACATCAGCTAACAGAAGAACGTCGGTCTCCAGGTAGAGATCGTGGTAGTCTCTCATGGTTTTCATTCCAAAGTGATCCCATACCTTTTGAGCTCTTTGGTAATCTTCTTCCTTCACTTCTGACTCATACAGTGATGAGTAGAACTTATCCTTACTCGGAAGACCTTCTGTATCAAGTTTGCTAATGTCATCCAAGAATTCATATGGAAAGACTCCTTTCTGTGTCACTAAATTGAAGTCCTCACCCTTCCACCTCTCACCTACTATCTTGAAGTCCTCAGGTAAGAGGTTGCTCACCAGTGCTTCCAGTGAGGAAGCCATAAATTGTATAGAGTCTATGAAGACCAGATTTTTACCTAGTGAGAATGAAATATATTTTTCCATATTATTTGGAATCACGTTGACGTCCATCTTGAACTTACCAATTTCCTGCATAATCAGATGACTATCGTAACCTCTCAGGTTGTGGAAGACCACAGGCACTTTCCATGTAATTCTGTACTTTAGATTA